AGTAAACTCGACGTGCGCGGCCACAAAAGAGCCTTAGTATAGAAACGTTAAGGCACCGAACAATGCGGGAGCCGGGCCAGTGTTCACCCGACGCTCTATGGTATCAAAAGACGTCATTTATACGGTACCTTATAAAATTATCGTTTTGTCGGTATTTTAATGATAGCGCCTCAGAGTGGGATAAAAGCGGTATTTTCATTCCGACAAAAGTTTTTTTTCCCATATATTTATATACATATAATAATGTTAATATTTGTTTAAACGAGAAATTTTAGTACTTCATATACATAGCCTATGTAGGCTCAGACCACCTAAATCATAACAAGCCCGCTAACATTATAGAAGTTGTGTGCATGTACATCTAATCTTTACACGTGTGAGGTTACAAGGCTATAAGCCGTGTAGCGAGAATATGTTTAACTCTTCCGAAGAAAAACTTGCAGATTTTGGGTCCAAATAAAATTCTTTAATAAACTTCATGGTTGTTACAGAGAATATTTTCTGTGATTGTTATTCTATGAATTACGTTATGTAGATAAAAACATATTATACACATGAGAAAACAAAAAAAAATGGCTGATACTCCTGATAGGTGTTCTTCAGAGGAAATTCGGAAGAGTCAAAGGGAGGATATATAAGTAATTTAATTTATTTCTGTATGCAGTTATTATTGCATTCAGCCATTGCTAATGAAAAACAATTCTGAGCATAATTCAAATTTTCCCTTGTTGCCATAGTTCTAATTCTAGTTTACTTTGATATGACATGGATGTTATTATTATTGAACTAGTATTTTATGAAGTTTATTTAACTTATGGATTTAGTCACGATTTACGATGAAAATAATAAACCATGCAGACTACAATATATTATTATCGTTGCGTGCAGAACACGTTTTATGCAATTTTAAAATTTGCCTATACGATTTTACTGGCTAAATTAAAGTATGATTATTTATTATTTTGTATAAGCCGATTTCACGCGAAGCGGTATTATCGTATACGCTAATATATCTCTGCATGATTGCAAGGTTTGGTTTTTCAACAATAAGACCAGACCAATGAGGAAAAAATTTAAGATTATAGGGCCGAATCGGACTGATAAAATAAACAATTGACCTTTTTTTCTCTCTTAACTAAAAAGGATCAAGAAATCAAGACATCAAGTATAGAAATATATAAATATCAAGCGGTAGTAATTACTTTCAAAATAATACGGACAACCCAACATTACACATAATATATATTATAAAAGCATCAATGTTACAAAATTATATTGTTTAGGAATTCAATTTTATGAAAATCATAAACTGTTTACTTGTGCTTTTAATTGTTAGATCAGTTTCTATTTCGTATATGTATGCTTAAATTTGTAGACGGACTAGAACAAACTGAACTTTTCAGAAATCGGACTAAACCAGACTGGACCGTTCTGAATCCAAAAATAAAAAGACCATATACCAGTTCATTGTGGTTGGACCGTACAGAGCACTAGTACACACCGATTGACTAAAAAAAAATATTTATATACAATCAACCATTTTTTTTTAAACTAAAGTTTAAATTTCTACTATAGTTATCCAATTATATAACATTTAAATCAATAAACAATTCTTCATTCACTTCTTTTCACTGATTTATTAAGGTAACCAAAATAATCCAGAAATCAAAATATCAAAAGTCCAAAATTCAAGGGTGAACCTCCATATAAAAATTGAAATACACAAATCAAAATTCGAAATATGGATCTTTGTTTCAAAATCAACTGACGAATGTTTGATATGATAGTCGATCGTCTTGCACAGGATTAAATTTGAGATCGGCCTATATGAAATCGAGATGACTTTGGTGGCAGACTACAGCAGCTGCAGCAACAGCAGAAGCAACAGCAACAGCAACTAGTAACAGCAGCAACAACAAAAACAGCGGCAACAATAATGGGTTACAACAATGAGAAGTAATTAAACCGTGATAAAACAAAAGGCCGAATGATACACGGAGTTAATTATAATTTTTGCCCCCTCCCACCGTTCACGTCTTCTCGCGTGTTCTTTTACCGCCACAGCCGCTGCGGCCGCCGACTCTTCGAACCATCATCGTCTCTTATTCCACATAAACAATGCGCGTCTTGAGCGCGCGCCGCCGCACAATGCAACAAAAGATAAGAAAAAAAAATAAAAAAAATCAAATCGAGTATATCTATGCATATGGGTATGTGCGTATGTGTGTATGTGTGTGTGTGTGTGTGTGTGTGTGTGTGTATAAAGACGTAGAAACGGGGTCAAACAATTTGGGTTCCGCGATAATTATTATTAAACAACAACAATAATATAACCCATCTATTGTTACTCACTTGGATGTGAAAATACCTTCGGACACTCCTAAATCGGCATATACGCCGCCGTGCGCGCGCGACTACGTAAAATAATACATGAAGGTATTATACCTATTATTATCCAAGCACGCGCCCGATATCTGTGGGGAAAAGGCCCGAAGAGCAGCCCCGAGAAAGTACGATAGTAATAATATAGCGTACAGTACAAGTTGATCCTGTAAACATAATAATAGTTATTAAACAGGGATGTACAGCATCTCAGATATATAAGTATCATAAATACAAATTGTATCTTGTATCACAGTCCTGGAAAGTAACGATAGTAACTTGTATTGCGATACTTTTTTTTAATATAAGTTAATCGTGTATTTCATAATAATTAGCTAATTAGCAACACTACCAACCCGAAAATAATATGTACCAATATTACTATTTTAGATTACTAGTGTAGCGAAGAATGAATTTGTTTTAAAAAGATGTTAAGTTTTTTTTTATTCTGTGTACGAAAATTCTACGTGAAATCTTGCTCCGAAATGTACGCGTGGCGCTATTTCTGAAAGGAAATATTGTTCAGGTGGTACTTTCGGGAGGTGTCATTTTTTCTAAGTGGTTTTTCTAATGTCTGGGAAAAACCAGGATAAACATAAGAAAACGGGAAATTTACGAAAATAATGCTTTGTGTAAAACTCGTGTTTCGAAAACATTGTTTGCACTAATTTTTTCCCTTTTACCTAAACAGGTGAAAACAAATGCATTTTAGGTGTACCTAAAGACCCAGCTATCGCTCATTCGAACTATTCAATGGAAAAATACTCCTTAATTTGTTGTGCAAACCTTTCTACCAGAAATCTTGCTCCGATGTATCAAATGTAGCTTATTTCCAAAAAGGAAATTTTATCTCTATGGTAATTTAGGGCGGTTATTTTTTTGATTTTTCAAGTGGTTTTTATTATATACGGGAAAAATCGGAATAAAATGTCGGAAAAACGGAAAATGTACGAAATTTAGGTATTAGTAAAAAAATATTATCGCCATTTTTTTCTGTGTACAATTTTTCTACCAGTAATTTTGCTCCGATTTAAAATGATAGCACTTTCTTTTGGAAATATGACTGGAGCGAAACTTTGAAGAGGTCATTTTTCAATTTTCCCAGCAAATGTGAAAAACCGAGAAAAACATGGAAAAACTGAACTATGCTCAGAATCATTTTTTTCGTTAGCAATGGTTTATCGTTGCTTACAGATGTATATTAAATTTCTTATAAAAGAAGTTGCAACCGTCTCCATTATCCTATGACGTATTTTTAGTTTTCTCTTCAAAAGTTTTAAAACTTTTTTAAAAAAAAAGTAGTTGGGTGAATAATTTTGTAACTATGCAGTGTATAGTATACACTGTACTATATTCCTGTAAGATTCTTCAGGTTATTATTATTTGTGTTTTATTTTTTTTATATGACTGCAATCTACGTTGTCTCAAAATTAATTCTGTATAAAATACCAAAATCTTCCAATTCGGTACACAGCTTTAACGTCATTTTTATTGAGTCTTTTCTTTTCAATCCCAGAAGGTTAATTCAATATTGGGTTCAATTTCAGCGTTGTTCGCATACTCACATACCCATAAATCGATATAATATTATCAAATTATCCAGTCCAGTACTGACAGTACATCATAGGACATACTGATATGTGCCGTAGGAATACGACACAGCTTAGAAAGGCAAAGGGGCAAAATTTTAAAAGTTATTGTTATTCTTTACTGGTGCCAAGTTGAACTCCGATAGGAAGTATAATAATTTGTATGTATTTTTAGTTGTCAGAAAATATACAAGGGCCCAGAAACAATAATGTTCCACCGTTTGTTGACCGTTTTCAATCAAAATATCGTAATACCATAACTACTGTATTATGGTTATTATGCATCTACCTGACTTTTTCACTTTGAAACGTGACCTTACCGAAGTGCTATTTTTCATTTCCTCCCTTCATTATTACTAACAGCGCAGTCTATCAATAACTTGATGTTTTTGGCTCTAGGTTTTTACTTAGATCATTAACCTGGAGCAGTTTCAGGTTTGGGTATGGTGGATGTTTTTTCTTCTTTGCTGCAAATCCCCTGTCATTTTTCTGACAACTGGGTAATGTCCCTACAATAACTATTATACTCAGATAAAGCGTATAAAATGTTTTGACTTGCCGAAAAATAATATAACTATAAAAACACTCAGAAAATTAATTCATTGTATACGACAATAATATTTAATATTTATATCGATATGTAATGAATCGGAAAAGTTAATCAAAATCGTTATTAATATAATTATTTACTATATATAGGCATACGAGAAAAATATAATATAATAATTTACACACAATGTATAATAAAATAATGAAACAATTAAATAATACCATATTAAACAAAACAATTGTGTATTCAAAAAATAATAATTTTTCTGTGTACCTATATCTACCGAGTACATGTGTCAAATAGGAACTTGTTATCGCCCCTATCGCATCTTTATAGATACCTACCAATACTCTTGTCCATGACCCATTTGAAAAAAAAAAACATAACTCAATACTTCGGTGTAGTTAAATTAACCTATAGAATGAAAATAACAATAGAATATTATCCAAAACGATTTTATATATTATGTTTTTATACGTTACGTCTTTACCTTTCATTAAAAAAAAAAAAAACCCGTGATGGATGTTAAAAATTAATTTAATATCGTCACAGTTCACTCACATCTGTTTATTGCACACACGCACAAATACACACACACACACACACACATATTTGTTGTTTTATTGAGTAACATTAGCTACATTTAAAAATCGTTAAAAATATAATTTATTTCTAGATCCCCGGCACACGAATAATAAATTCATGATTTCAAGTAAAATTGTATTTAACTACAATGGTAAGCAAAGGAGACAAAACCATGTTTTCCTTAATATTTGAATATTAATTTCAACACAAAATGTACATAGTAGGATTTATAATTATTGTATATTTTAACCTTCGTACCGAGCCTTTAGAATAATTTTTAGTAGGTACTGCATAATAACATGTAGATTGCGGTCAAATATTATGTTGATAACTTCAAATAATGTAAAAAAAAAAAACAAAAAACAAAAAACATTAAAAATTGATTTTTACTTTTTAATGGAAAACGCTATATTATAATTGTTCTTGCGAATGATAATTTCAGTAATTTTGGTGTTTCAATTGAATTTGTAATTTTGATCTAAATTATAATTTTTATTTCTTAATATAATAACACAATGGTAGTGCGTAGCAATATATTTGAATCACATGATTCACACAAAAAAAAAAAAAAAAAAGGGTGATTGAGTGTTCAGAAATATAACACAAACTATTATGATTTTACAAAATAAAGTATATCGTGCTAAATGTCAGTAAGTATTCCTTATAGTACAGTTAACAAGTAAAACGTATAGGTTTTAAGTTAATTTTCTAGATACGTTAATGTTTACGTTTATATAGTTGAAAAGTCATTGAATGTGTTTTGGACTGCGGAAAATACCATACATTTTAATAATGATCTCCATATTAACTAGTTGATGACTCCTGGTTTATAGTTTATAAGACACGGTGTAGTAGGGCGGAGGTATTTTCGGCCGGTGGGTGGGTGAACAATTAAATAGGCGATTCAAGGTATAAAATACTTTGCGCCGCCACTGTGATAATCATATAATATATCCGATAACTAAAGTCAATCATTAGAAATACGTAATGTACAGTAACCAAGCACACAACAGGCTAATAATCGTCGAACCCATTTTTAGTCCATAACCATTTGCAGCGCTTTTCGTCATGTCGGCATTATCGGTCAAAACGACTGCCGATTTAGGACGCAGTTTCAACAGTTTGTCAACCGCAGAAATTGTAGATATGACGTTTCTGTAACGGAACGGCCATTAAAAAAAAAATACATATATTATTATTATTATTATTAAGTCACATAGGAGTATAATTTTGTAAACAATAAGTTTTCTATTCACGAAATATTCGATTAAAATTATGAAAAATAATATTATAGTATAGGTACCCTTTGCTGTACGCTGAATTCGCGCTGCCCAAGTAGACGTAAAACTTCTCATTGAGATTTCGCATGACATTAGACAAGTTAATCGTCTCGGTTTCACTACCAAAGTTCACGACGACCAAGTACGTTTCGCGTTTGGATAAAAATCTAAAAGATCGCAAATGTCGAAATCACCATCATTATAGCCCATAACAATAATAAATGATGTTTAACGGTATTCATTTGATTTTCATAGTAGGCATATTATTATACCTTTTGATTATGTACACCGAATCGGTTATATTATATAATTGAACACCGCCATATTTCAATGTATCGGTTCTTCGGAGTTCGGACATTTTTTTGTAAAAATTATAGTTACTGTTCGGTTGTTGTTTTTGAGCCTCGACGTTCAGTCGATAATAGTTTGAATTAACGGGCAACCACGATTTTTTCGCTTTAGTGAATCCTTGAAAAATACATAATACAAACATTATTATAGCGTCATAAAACAAACCTAAAGAAAACAATGTAATTGACAAATTTGACTCTATACCCATTAACAAAATTATGTATATATTTCGCTTCACCGACCAACCGTTTATATTTTTCTACCTGCGCTATCAAATAATGCAATAATAACATGTAGGTTCCAATAATTAGATGAAGTTTAGATACATTTTTAATTTCCGTCCACCCGTTGGGTACGAGATATTCTACTTTTAAATTTGGATAGGAAGAGAATGGTGGTGCATCATTAGTGTGATAGCACATGTGCGGAATTTAAATAGTGCTCCAATACTCTTTCCTACCTAAAAAACTATAAAACTTAAAAAGTGGAACAGTCAGCGGGTTGGCGGAAATTAAAAATGTCAGCACCAAAATATATTTAAACTAAAATTTTATCGACCTATGTGATTTTTTTATAAGTAGATTGCTATATGAAAAACAAAAGTAGGAAGTGGTTCACTCCCTAAAATAATAGTATCGACAAATAACGGTAACGTAAATTTTAGAGCTGCTTGTTTTGTAAATGTTTTAAAGAAAAAGAAAATAGATTTTTGAAAAAGTTAATTCTTTTTGTGATGCTGTTGTCTTACGGTATGTTGATTACCCTGTATATGCCTTGATAACAATACAATCCGTTCTGTTTAGTTGATATCGTACTACCGAATGTTATGAACAAAAAAAAGAAAGAAAATCAAAGGGGTAAATAAAAAATGACCAGTATCCAGTAATAACCATTAATTTTTCGGTTCAACCGTACGGGTAGTAAAATTAAAATATAATAATAGAAAAATGACATAAATTTTGTTAGTCTAAGCAATACAATCGAAAGCGGCAATCAATAATTTGTTTATGGACCTGCGTTTGTCATATCATTCCATTGCATAGGAGTCCTCGCAAAATCTCTGCTTACTGCGTTTTTCTGATCGCCCGTAACTTTCGAATCTTGAATTTGCTTGGGTCTCACGTAAGTATTTTCCATACCTATTTCACTACCATAGTACGTAACTTCGACACCAGGAAGCGCTAATTTCAGCGCGGTAAATATTTGTACCGCTTCGGGGCCGTATTTTGAAGATATTCTATCGGTATCGATACTTTCCATCTAAATAAATGTGTTTTTTATTATTATTATTTTTTTTTTTTTACAGTTAATTTATTAATTTAATACATGAATTTAAATATTTTGCATCCATAACAATTTAAAAAGATTGACATACTTCGCACAGTGGGTGGGCCAATATTATACGTGAGAAGTTGGAAAGGTAGGATGTAATATATTACAGGAGAATTTATTTTATATCAGTACGCAACGATAAAACATTGCTCAAAAAAAAATGATTAGGAGCAAAGTTTTTTTTTATACATTCACGTACATTTTCCCGTTTTTCTTACGTTTTTTCCAAATTATCATGAAAACCGCTTAGGAAATCAAAAAGTGACTCACTTAAAGTACCAAGTAAATACTATTTCCTTTCAAAATAATAATAAAAAAAAAACATTGTAAAACCAATACATTGCTTGCTTAGCTATGAATCTCAAAGGGCAATTCACAGCAAGTCTAAATGTTTGACTGAAACAAATGTATGACTTGCTCCCCTCCCTCGCGAAATAAGGTCACTGTTTTCTTACTTTATTTTAATAATTTATAAATTCATTGTAAAAAGTTTGAAAATTGTTTACCACCCAGTTTGGTGTATTGTTGGCCGGTATGACGTCAAACCAAAATTGAATAGCGAAGTCTATCGATTCGACTATTTCTTCCTTGCGTGGAATTGTTAATAAATGATAATTGAGCGGAATTTGAGCTCCGGGATGGTTACTGTTTCCAAAATAAGGAGCCAGACTGTATACACACGCGCGGTAATGAACGTCCGCTACTAAAAGCCTATACATATTACACAAGGACATATATTAATTAAAAATAATATAAATAATAATAATAATAATAATAATTAAAATAATAAATATATAAAACATACAAATGCAATAACTCGTTAATAAGAAACACGTGATGTAAACGAGATGCGAAAATAAACATATTATTTAAACTAACAACTACATTTTGCTAAACATTTTTAGGTCCGTGTAATGGGCACATATTTTATCAATTTCGTAAAATGTGTTTTATTTTGAACATAACATACATGTTTGGCTAATTTTTCCCGAAAATAGAGTGTAGTGTTGTAGTGTTCTATGATGTGTCTGTTGTATACAGTGTTGGAAAGTACTTGATTGAAAGTAGGAATTCGAATATTTATTAAGTAGGTACTTAAATAAGTATTTTAAGTCTTTTTGAAAAAAAAGACCTTGAACAAAGTATTCCAAAGAATTTATCTTATTACACTTTATTATTTTGACTTTCCATTCAATTACGTCAAAACAAGAAAAAATGAGAAATGTATGTGTGATTTGAGTTAAAAATAGTTAGAAATATAATTTAATTAAAAAAAAAAATAAGGTATATCTATACAAATCTGTCTTAAGCTTATTCAAAATATTTTTACTATAGATATAAGTTATTTGAAAGGTTCTAGTTTTTATTTTATTTCAAATGAATAATATTGTTTTCTGTGAGCATTAATGTTTTAAAATTTAACATAAGATTCTTCATAAATTAAATTGCTCTTATGCTAATATAAAAATATTTTTATTACAATTTTGTATAAGCTTTTTAATTAAAATTGCAAAACATATCAAACGAAACTTTGATTTTTACAATGACCGTTTAGAAATACCCTATAATAATACTTTTCAAAGGTAAAAAACCGTGGAATTTTTATTTTTATATTGTTGGATTAAATAATATTAATAAGAAATTATAGTTTAGTTTTTAAAAAAATATAAAAACCTTTTATTTTTATTATTTGCTTGACTTGAAATAGACATTTAGTTAAACGTTTAGATATTTAACTAAATGACTAGATATTTAACTAAATGACTAGGCATTTAACTAAATGTCTAGGCGAATAGTAAAATTGCATATAAATTTAATTTGTTGGCTATTTACCTAAGCATTTAGTAAAATGTCTGATTTAATTAATATAAATATCCAGTGTTTTGTGAGAAATTCTGTCTCACTATTAAAAAATCAATACGAAACATTCATAAATCTTATTAAATCATATAATTACCTCGGGAATGTATTTTTCTTTTTCGAATAATTGTCCATAAATTTTCTCCATTCGAGAATCGTTTCGACGTTCTCCGGCACATCGTTCGTGTATTCGTGAGTCAATGAGTAATACTTAGGCCAACTCTCTCGGCCAACTGAATGCGGTTCATCGGTAAAATTTGCGTTTTCGTATAATTTACCTACAGCGTTGAACCGAAATCCGGCAACACCCCTATCCATCCAAAATTCCATTATTTTCTTGAAAATCGAAACAAAGAACACATGTCATAGTATGGTGAAAGATAATGCGAGAATATCTAAATTTCTGGCAATTTTATACTTACGAAAAATTCCATATGGACTTCCGGAGTCCTAAAATTGAAATCCGGTTGTTTGTCACTGAATTGATGTAAATAAAATTGTTTTCGTTCAGTGTTCCATGTCCACGCCGATTGTCCAAAAGTACAAAGCTATATTTAAATACGCATAATATGTTAACCGAGATTCGAAAAAAATTTGAAATGTGAAACCAAACATATTTAACGCATATTTAATATTTAGTATTTTAATTCCATTAACACGCAGGAATATGACACGCGATGTTAATAATTATTATGGTAGCTAACTTAGTTTTTGTTTTAAAAAAAAATTTAGAAAATTATATAATCTATACACGCGTACAACAAGCATAAAGGATGTTTTTATTTGGTGTTGCTTGATTGCTATGAGAGAAGATGTGTGTTAGCGTTCTTTAAAAATGAATTTAAAACATTTCATTTACCCAATTATTTGGAGGTAAAGGTGTGACTGATGAATTACTAAGTTGGTGTTGATTAGAAGCGTTACGCCAAACGTAGTAATCTTTATATTTGCCTTGCTGGTTGATCGATTTTTGAAACCATTCGCACTTATAACTCGAATGATTTGGTACAAGTTCCAAAATAAGTTTTAAACCTATTAAAAATAAAATTCAGTATTTTATCATTAATTTAATTGGCATGTAATAAATATGCTAGATTGTTTAATGATAAATTATTTTATTTACCTCGTTTGTTTAGTTCCGAAATCAATTCATCGAAGTCGTCCATAGTTCCGAAAATCGGATCAATTACTGTATAATTTTCGACGTCATATCCTAAATCGTCCATTGGCGATTTTAATATCGGATTGATCCATACTGCTCCTACGCCCAGATCGACAAAGTGATCCAGACTTTGAGTAATACCTGCAGAATATGCGCACGATATTAATAATTATAACTATATAGTGTTCAATGAAAAGATAAATATTTCTATGATATGTATTTGGACACATATTATGTTTATATTTTAGACGGGTTCGGCAGTATATTCAATATCAGTATGACATTTTACTCTTAGATTCAATTGCATTTTGTATCGAGTTTATCAGTTTAACTATAGTGTAAATTAATGTACCAATAGTATCGAGTATCTAGGTACTCATTTTGGCTGTTATCCATAATTCATAACCGACCGATGGGGGGCAAGCTGGAACATTTCCTCGTTAACTTTTGTAAAAATAATACATTACGAATTTGAAATTGTTGTACAATGTGGAGAATTGTTTAAAATGTCAAATAATGTTTCGAATAATATTAAAAACGCCGTATATTTTAAAATACCGGATACGTGGAAAATGGAAGTAATATTATTTTTATTTTAATATATCTTGTACTTATGTAGGATTTAAATACTTATTAGATGTTAATATTGAGTATTTTATATTGCAATACCTACTAATTGTTTCATAAGTATCTAAGTATACCTTGTATATAATTGTAGAAAATAAATATAAGTATCTATTTTCGATTATCTATAGATATCATAGATAGTTATTATTAAGTAAATTGTCAATAATAACTTAACCTCGAATATGTGTATAAGGTACCTTTTAAATCGCCTATTCCATCATTATCACTGTCTTTGAACGATCTAGGATATACTTGATATATTATCGTGTTCGACCACCATTCGTTATCTGGCTTCATTCCTGGAAAAACAATAGTTTCGTCTCCAAACGTTATTGATGATGACGTGAACGCTGCTAATATAAATATCCAACGGACGCTAAATATTTCCATTTTGTTTTTTCTTGCTGAATAGATCTGATATGCTATAAAACAGTGTTTCTGGTCAAATCGTTTTTAACTAATAATAATATTTTGAAAAAACAAAATATTTTTATACTATATATAGATATAATATAGTAAAAAAAATTATCCTTATGAAAAAAAAAAACCCTGGACATACTTCGCATTGTGGATAGGCCACTCTTTTGGGAAAGAAATTGTGAATACATAATGTATAGGGAAATTAAATTTAATGTATAATGTACTGTAAGCGAAGATAAACCATGAAAAAATTACTGAGCAGAATTAGGTAAAATACAAGATTATTAACGCATTTTAGTAACATTTCTGTCACCTTGTTGTAGGCACAGAAATCAACTAAAAAAAAAAAAAAAAATCAAGGCATATTAATTTGTTATCGGTTTTTATATTTTTGAGAAATTCAGAAAACTTTTTAAATTAGGTATCATTAAGTGAAAAACCGCAGTTTTGTGCTATTATACATTATGGCTGATTATTTTGTTATTAATATTTTAAGAAATACACAATCTGTAAATTAAAAAAAAAAAAAAATACAATAATGAGCGTATGTGTGGAAATAAATACTAATTATAAGTGTCACCACCCGGTGGCGACACTTTTAAGGCTTGATATTAATTATTAATTTAAGAGGTCTCTATACCATTGGTGGGGATGATTTTTACTAACTAGAAAAAAACACATTTTACTGAAACTAATAGTTTCTTGGCGACAACATAATATATGTAATGTACTAATCTACAATGTATTGTATATGTATTTGTATATGTATTAAAGACGTCGTGAAAATATAATTTATCTATTGCTTTTTCTAGATTTATATTTTATATAAAATATTAAAAACTAAAAATAGTATACACTTTTAATAATTGTTTTATTTAGTTATAATTAAAAAGTCATAAAATATGTAAACTATCACTTTTTTCGTAAAAAAAAAAAACAGGTTTTTAAACTTTAAATTGCAATGAAATTAAATTGTTTAAACAATGATTTATATTTACTAAAAATTAAAATAATGTCATTTTTACTTTAAATTACTTAAAAATGTGATAGTATAAATCATGATATTTTTATAATTTATATAACACGTCACATAAGGTTTAAATTTATTATTAAATATAAAAAATATAAAATTCTTTGTAATTATTTTAAAATTATTTTAATATCCTTTATAAACTGATTGATGATGATTAAAATTATTAAACGTTGTATTGCTTACCGGAAATATTATTATACTTTTGAAAAATATAAGTAGTGTTAATATAGTGGTACAATATAAAATAGTGTTAATAGAAAATTTGATTACTATTACAATTAAACATCATTCCGGTTTTTCGATTTAAAATATTTTTTTACATTAGGCGTGTTAACAAACGTAAAATAACGATTCCAATATCGAATATAAGAAATATATAGAAAATCTTCATTACAAAAAATCCTTTTGAAGTCAAGTATCACGTAATTAAATTTTTTACATAGTAATATCTGCAAATATTATAATTTTTTATATTATTTACTTAATCATTTCGCTAGATTAAATGATTATATAGAATCTGTATACACAATACAGTTTTATTTTATAACAATTATTAATTGATAAACGCATTAACTTATATTATAGTATCAATTATACAATATTATTTTTTGATTAAGTTGTGTCTAGACCTTTATGTGGGCTCTATAAATAGGTAAGATGTTTTTTTTAACCAAAAGCGTTTATATCAGGACATGATATTGTTTTATGCTTATAATGGGTTTCGGCCCTTTACACCAGCCTCTCCCAAACGGACAAATTTCAGTAAAAAAATTGGTAGTGGGATGCTAAAAATTTAAACTTTTGAAAAGAAATATGCGTTATACTAACGCCATGCGTATACAAGATGGTATTCCCTGGATTTATTTGGGAATTTTTAAGGACTGTAAGCAAATACATTTTTAAGCAATAAAACATTCTTTTCAAAAACATGGCGAAATTCGTGTTAAAAAACATACCCAATTTTTATCACTTAGATCCGCCAGTAAAAAAAAATACTCTAATTCCAAAGTTAAAATTTTTTTTTCCAAAAGGAGCAACCCAAAAGTGTACTTATATACTTCCCACTGTAGGTTATATAGTCTCTATTTAAAGTAAAACAAATTTTTTTTTTCTTTTAATGTTCAGCCAAAATTGTATGTGCTGATTTTTTTTTTCTTATGATTTATTATATTTTATTTTATTATTCAATATGATGTAAATATATTTCAACACGGGAAAAATTAAATAGATTCGTTTTTTTTCTATTTTTATTGAGAATAGGTATGGTTACACGTTATATTTGGGTCGCTGGAAATCCATTTACATATCATTGCAGTACTATACGGCAACAAAATAAACTAAAAAAAATCAATTATACATACTAACAAAGTAATTTTTTTCAGTGTGGCCTTAACTTTCCTGTAATGCGTACTCCATAATATAATTATTATTATATCAATTATAGAATCCTTTAGAACTCGTATATTTTTCATTAAATTTGTTTGTTAAAACGAGTGTGATATACATAGTACGTATCTAAAATATTATTTTGACGACAATCAACTGCAGACGATACTCTCTGGGAAACAAGTATCAATTCGCAATTGACTTAATAATAGACAATTATAAATTTACTGCACTGGTATGATAATGTACAATATTATTGACATTGTTGCATCGTATATTATATTCTCCACCTACGCAACGTATCGATTGTGATTTAATGATATTACGGCGTCGAAATACATAATATTACAGTGTCAAATTATAAGAAAATAATTATTGGTTCGAAAATAGTCCAAATGCAATAATAAAACCAATTATTTTTAAAATGCATACTGATAAATAATTCGTATTCAAGCTTTTGTATAGGTACGTACCACTTTTTTCCATTCAATAATTTCACAGAATAATAATAAAATTCATTAGTGGCATACGTTAGTATTTTACTGTTACTATACACATATATTAATAAGAACCGTATATATTTCATTAACGAAATTCATTACGGCCCGTCTTTTTTTTTTTTTTTTGAATTATTAATTTTAATTTATCTATACGTAGCTATAATCTTAATGTATAAATGTAAAAAAGAAAACTTTTGAGTCCTATATTCTCAACTACTGAACTGATCGTTTTGATTCTTTTTTTTAAATTGAAGGGCTTGTCATGGAGACGGGTTATAGCTACTGACATCTATCCCTTATTGAAAACCATCCGCCGAAATTCGGTTTTTAGATATTATTATAAATTATTATTATACGTAACATTATCACGTTTATTATCTACGTTTTCTATCTATTTGTTTTTATTAATTACGGACAAGGTCAAAACCAAAAAGAAATGTGGGTGAAAAAAATAAATAAAAATTGTCACGGATAATGCCGGGCAGGACAACTAGTCAATTATATAAGTATACCTAAATTTACCATGAACATTCAACTGTAACCGCGAATATCGGTATATCGGTAATAATAAACAAAAAAACAAATTTCTTTGATTCTTTCCATCTTATATCTTAAACGGATTTTTCATCTTTTAGTACTTTATTTAAAATAATTGTTTTTATGTTTTTTTTTTTTTATTTAAACACTTTTTTGTTAGGAAAACACTCCAAATATTTCTGATACTGTATCACATTGATTTCTGGGTTGTCTTTGCAACAAAAGTAAATTACGATAATTAATAAATTAATTAATTAATAAGAGTTCACCAAATTCACTATGTTCACAAAGTTTAGAATAGTTTTTTGTTTGCAGTAATTTAACATTGTATGCAGAATATAAACAAAATTACCCTGTTTGTCTTACTTTCGCAACTACTCACTTATAAGACTACAATGGAGGCCCCCACCTGTGAGCAGTATAACTTGTTTAAATAAACATAATATATAAGTAAGTAATTCGAAATATAATATTGATATAAAGTATAAAAAAAAATGATAAAGGGGAAAAAATGTATATATTTACGACGATCATTTTTTCATATTATTCTTTTATTTTACCCTATATGAATATATTTTGTACTTTTTATCTTATAACGCAGTTAACGAGAATCATCTCGAAAGTTGAAATTTAAAGATTTTATGGAATCCATTGGTCCTGGTCCAATTTTCGGTAAAATTCGATTAATAGCAATAAGGTCACACTTGAATTTTGTCCACGTTATACAAAAATGTAAATTTTAGGAGTTTCTGGGCTCTCTGGTTTGCCCGATTAGAATACATTAGAATACATTTTACTATTTGTGATTTTAAAATAATTTCTATCCACGGCCAACCTATGAACAACCCTCATACATTACAGAAACAAATACATTAAAACAAATTATTAATACTCCACCCAATAGCGAAAAAACCATTTTCGGTACACTGATTGGAAAACAAACTGGTTACAAAAAATATTTTTGAAAATAAAATGTATGAAGTTGACGTATATTAGGAAATTTGAATTTTTGAGATAAATACCTATATGTATTTACTATTTAACGAGTCAAATAAAATAATTTTAGATTTTGACCGACGTGAGAAATGTATTAATTATAAATATTATATATATTATATACGTTTACAATGATATATTTTTTTTTTGCGAACAACTTTTCTACTTGAAATTTACTCCGATTTTAAAGTGTAACGCTTTTTCTGAAAGAAAATTTGACTCAGGTCAAGAAGGTCATTTTACAATTTTTCTAAGGGTTTTCATAATAAATCGGAAAAACCAGGAAAATCATAAGAAAATTTACGAAATATATTATTAACAAACCGTGAATATTACAGCCTTTCAAGACATGTATATCCGATCGCCGTCTACATTCCCACCTACAACAGTTGCCCACCTATCGTGCGAAGTATATCAGTTTGTTATTTGTTTTGGTTTTGTTCAATTTGTTGTTGATTTTATCGCTATTTATATGATTCTACTAGCACTTCCATAAACGTATAGACTTAGTGATACACACCTAGCCGATAATACTTGTGAATATAACACGGTATTATTTTATTATCATAACATACTAATATTATAATATCTAGGTACTTAACAGCGGTCTCATAACATAATCGTATTTGACTAATACGCACGTAGTATCGTTCATCCGAGTATAATATTAATCCTTTTCTGTATAGATAACATTGATAACATTGTGTCAATTTTTAATTCTCGTCACCGATGCGCGTATTATGTTTGACATTTGAATATTCTCTGTGATTTCAATCGATTTGTATTTGATTTAAATAATTAGAAAATTGGTACTCTTAAAAATGTCTAAATCATTATATCAATTGTCACTGATTTTACTTCGTGTATT